ATCAAAAATTTTGTAACTATTACAAAATCGCTTATTTTGCTCAACTATTCAATAAGTTTTATTTACCAAATATATTCTGGAAGCAAATAAATTTTACTTCTGTCAAATAAATAATTTATTTTACAGAACTAAATTAATTAATAAGTATTGCCATAGCTTTGGCCCGCTATATTTACGTCTATCATTTAGTAATAGTAACCAAATTTTGATAATATTTACTAAATTCTTCTCTCAGTGTATATAACCCAGCATACACAGAATATAATTATTATATAACATACACGGAGAAAAAAGTTAGCAAAAACCTGTGTGTAGTAAATTTCAGTTGTAACATATGGATACCTAAAACTATAGCTGCGTAGCCAATTTTAATTTGCTAATTTTAATTAGGAGTGATAGGTAAGGGACACAAAATTTTAGCTGCAGCACACACTTCAGTACTAAAAGTTTATCGCTTTTTTTAACACAAACTGTTGTGTTAATGTTTATTCTGATTTTTTTTGCCTGAAATTTAGCTACTTTATTTAGTGCTACATCGTATCTGAAAAACACACTTAAACACTGATGGGCTCAAACCCGAGTCCTCTGGTTTGTAAGTCAATCGTCTTAGACAAAGACCACTTCGTTGTTTGATATAAGTGTGTTTCGTATTGTCCATATGTGGTATAATCAGATAGAAAGTACAGCTAACTAACCTTAGCTATTTATGCTAATAATTTTTAGTTATAGCAGCAAATACAGCTTCAGCAAACTATGATTAGCTGCCGCGATGAAACTTTTTCTTTCCGTGTAGAAGTAACACATAATATAACGAATACTATACGTTATTAATGTTAAAGTTAATTTTCTTTTATAATTGCAATCTAATTGTGTTTTAGATTTGGTATAATCCTTTGTTATTTATAGGTTATAATTATATAACACCAACAAAACTGTAATATAACAGGTTGTATGACAAATGTTTATTTGAATTGCATCTGTTATATAGCATTCTTATATTTAGGTATCGGATCATTCGCTAGATGGCTTCCGTTTTCTTGTGTTTTTCTCATACGTAAAATATGATGTACTAACATATATAAGAACGACGATGACGAGACAACACAACTTGTATCATGGAGTCCACTCTCGTAGTGAAACGGTACACTTTTTGATTAATAGAAATTACTGTTACAGTAATAATCCCTTCCATTTAAATATTTAAATATTAGAGGGATGGAAATAAATAAATGATAATAGCTCCAATAGCATAAAATGCCTGAGGACGTGCTGGGACACTATCCAGACGTCTAAAATGGTTCTAGGATAATTCTGAGATATCTTGTGTTATTTGGGAGCTAATTAATTTAGAATGACAAGATACTCTTATATTGTATTATTATCTTTACTAAAAATATTATTTTTATACGATACGAAATATATAATTATAATATTTTTAAAAACATACTTTTTTACAAATTAACTGATATTTGAGTGGTAGTGTAATCTCTGCATACAATTAAATACCTATAATTGCTGGGAAATAATAATTTATATTCCAGCTAAATATTTTAGTAACATATTATATTTTTGTTATATAGCTGCAATATTGTTTGAGTGGGAAATTACAACTAACGTGTACGAAATATATAATTATAATATTTTTAGAAACATACTTTTTTACAAATTAACTGATATTTGAGTGGTAGTGTAATCTCTGCATACAATTAAATACCTATAATTGCTAGGAAATAATAATTTATATTCCAGCTAAATAATATTTTAGTAATATATTATATTTTTGTTATATAGCTGCAATATTGTTTGAGTGGGAAATTATAACTAACGTACGAAATATATAATTATAATATTTTTTAGAAACATATTTTTTTACAAATTAACTGATATTTGAGTGGTAGTGTAATCTCTGCATACAATTAAATATCTATAATTGCTGGGAAATAATAATTTATATTCCAGCTAAATAATATTTTAGTAACATATTATATTTTTGTTATATAGCTGCAATATTGTTTGATTGGGAAATTACAACTAACGTGTGTATTACATGTAACAAACATGTTATATTTGCACATTACATTCCGTTATATTACGACAATATAACTGTTATATTATTGTGTTCGCTGGGAAGATACTGTTATCGGGTCCTAATTATTAATAATCATTATTAATAAAGTCTTGATTGTTATGACTTAACAGAATTCGATAAAATCGTTGAACATTCAGCTGCATTAAAATTGATTGCACTACTTGAAAGTAACGGAACAAAAAAATTATTTTTGCATTTGAAACTAAAATATTTGATACATACGATTTGATTGACATTACTACCTTTTTTTTACTTGTATCTAGAGACCCTTGAATCAGACTATAACTACGGTTTTGTCAAAATTCTACGAGATAGAGAGGCGTATATTCTCAATTTCTCTTCTTATCTATCTCTCCTTAATCTAATCTAACCTAACATATTGTGATAAGAGTATTGTGATTAGAGACTGTGTGACATTTGACAAAATATGGCGAATCAATCAAAACTGGCTGTGTTATGGCCAGACTCTGATTCAAAGGTCTCTACTTGTGTCTAGTAGTATTTATTAGAAAGAAAGCAAAACGCACAAGTGGCAATTAAATGTTGCAATTATCAGACGTTTGACTCCATTTTATCTAAATTTTGGTTCGTACTAAATTATCGTATCGAAGACAAAATCCTTTTTTTTCTTTTAATATGGATTGAATAGAAATCTCCTACACAGGAAACTTCCTGTTCCTACAATCGAGTTTTTTATCTGGTTCTCAGATAACAGAAAGTTCAGTTACACTAACGGAGTTGTTCTTTCCGTGTACAAACCAGATAGCTGATTGGGATCAGCCTGATCAGGACCATTGGATAAATTTCTAGCTGGGATCTAGTCTGCGCGCGCAGCACACCATTAAATAAGTACGATTGAAAGTATAATGATGCAAGTCGTCAATCTCGAAGCGCCTGCATTTGTGCGCGCCGTAAACGCCACTCGATAACACTCCAACACGTGTAACGTGAAAAGTTAATCGATTATTCCCGGCGAGATGAGGGGCCCGTGATTGAGTGCTTCCAATCTCACGCGATACGGCGATTTACCGAGCGTCTCCGAACCGTCGTATCCTTTGATACGTCGATTGATTCGTTGTAACTCCGATTAGACGTAGCGATTTAGCGTGGAATTTATTGTCGTTGATAGATTCGTCCCCACCCCTTCGTCTCATGACGGAATATTTCTTCTACGTATCGTACATGAAGCCGATATCGGCTTGCCCGATGAACGCAGTTTGCACGTGCTACGCCATATTGCCTTTAATAATAGCGTTGCGGTAATGCAACAGCAAGAAATAAGGAGCAAAAGGCTTTCTGCAGAAATACGAAAGAGATTCTCAGACCTAAATCTTTTAGATTATCTCAGGGGATTGTCATTTTGAGCAGGTAAATTGGCTCAGTTATGTTTGCCAACATTTTAAAAAGAATCATCTCGTCGCTTACCGACGATCTGAAAATTCTGGAACCGTTAAAGTCAAGCCGTAAACCGTTAAAGTAAACCATTAGTTAAAATAAGGACACTCCATTTGTTGATGAACGCAGTCTTGACGATTTTTGAAGGCTCTCTTACTTCAACTATTATAAACGCGACGCTCATCTAGTGTTGCAACAGTCGATCAGAAGCATTAATGGTGTAGAACCGGATGCCTCTGGTCGATGTCGGATTAGTAACAGTTGAAGTGGGGTCAATTTTTGCAATCATTATTGCCATGAGCGTTACGTCAATTTGTTCCGCACGTTGTGTCAAATGCAAAAGGACCTTTGTACACAATATGTGAAAGAGAAGTATGCTTTAAAAAGAAGTGACTAATACTTCCGAAAAGTATTGCTTCGTCAGAGTGAACCGATACCGCTCGATTAGACAGGAATCATTTGAGAAATTAGTTTCAAATTGTAAGAATGATATTCTACGCAGGAACTACGCGAGAAATTTTTAGATCTTTAGACCTTCCAGATTATTTTGAAGGATAGAATGTCATTCTGAGCAGATAATTTGTTTAGCTATATCTGTCAACATATGAAGAAGAATCCGTATATTTATCACCGTCACATATTGACAAACTAAACATTCAAGAATTATTACTCAAGGTTTAAAGAGGATATTATTCATTGGCACGCCTTCACAACCTTCATGAAAACTAACATGATGTTTTGACTAACCAGTTTAAACTAAATAAAAAAATACAAAGGACATGATCGATTCTTAAAAGATCTATTGAGAGAATTGATGAATTGGAAACTTAAATACAAGTAGCTCTGGAATTTTGGAGCAATTTTAAAATGCGTGACGAAATTTTTGACAACGAAAATCCTGTAGGTGATTTTCTCAGTATCAATGGACACATTATTTGGCCTTTTTTGGAGGTTTCCTGCTGGCCTTGTCTCTAGGGAACTCTGTTATTGGAATTAAAGGGAAACCTATAACTAACGCGCGCGCGTGATCGTACGATCCGCAAGGATACGCAGCGCCACTGCGTTCCTGTTGTCTGTAGAAGTGGTGGGACGGGAAGGAATGAGGGAGGGTCAGGGCGGGGAAACGAGACGGCGAGGGTGGGAGTGAGCCAGACATATTAATTAAACGACTCATTTTCATCGCACGACAAAAACGTGAGTTTAACGCCCATCGTCGACTAATGCGTCGCCCCATTGCAACTCCTACGTACCTTGAGGAACCGCGGTAGTCACGGCTGATGTTCGGCTCTGATGCTGATCGCGACCGCGGCGCATCGGCCAATCAGAGAGAGTTGTGCACGTCTAGGCCACACGGTTTGTGTCAGGGAACGCCCACCGCGCTTGATTTCACGATCCCCCTCTCGTATACGTCGGACGAGGTATGGGTAGGGCGTCCTGCGCGTTTACGCTGGTGCAGGGATTGGGGATCCCCACCACGTTTCGGTGAGCGCCTCGTTTAGTCTGTAATTTGCTCAAACACTAGCAAGCTCTCGTGCCAGAAACATCCGTCAGAGCTTGTGCTCGGTGCTCGCTCTCGTCCGCGAGAGCTGAATTTCACGGAAACGCGCGACGTGTCCACTCCATTCGACGCCCGCTGTCACGAATCGCGGAAAAGCCGCTACGGCCTCTCTCTCTCTCTCTCTCTCTCTCTCTCTCTCTTTCTTTCTCTCTCTTTTTCTCTCTTTTTCTCATTCTTTATCTCTTCCTCTCTCTGTCTCTCTCATTCGTTTTCCGCGCGTCCAGGTCGATAGCGCGCTCGCGACCAGGTCGATGGAGTGTCGGGCGTGACCTACGAGTGAGTGTCGTGAGCCTCGGGGCCAGTGCGTAGGCGTCCGTGACGTCAGTTAGTGAAGCAACGGGACGTGTTTGGACGCGAACAGCAGGCGCATGTTGTTTCCGATACGGTGATTTCCGCTGGTCGACCACGGTACCACGGGTAGTGGTTCTAGTGATGCGTGAACGCGGTGCTGGGACTTGGGACCAGCCGCGATGAGTGACTGCTGAGACCAGCGTTAATACTGATCGGACAATTGGAGCAAGAGTTGTTCGGAAACGTTGAAGGTGAACAGGAACAGAGGTGGTCGAGTGATACCTTTGAATTCTCGACAAGTGCACCTCTGGACAGTGGAGAGACAGTCTAAGAAGCCCGCTGTCGAGGAGGACAGGTATCGTTGCTATAGTGAGTGCTTAGTCAGTGCCAGTGATAACAACACGAGAGTGTCGAATTGGGAGCACACCTGGAAGCGCCCTGTACCTAGTGAAAGGCGATCTGCGAAGATGCGGCGGTCTTAATCACGACGTCGACCAGTTGGTCACCGTTGGTCCCGGCAAAGTGGGTTGTTCAACCGGGAAGCGTACGATAATCGTACGATGATGCCGCTCGCGCCGACGCCAATCGTCCCGGTGCCATCTAAGCCGAAGATCGGCTTTAGCATCGACTCGATAGTTGGTGGTGGCGGTCAGGGTCGCGAGGATCGTCTAGACCGGCTAGAACGTGTCGAGATTGAACGCGACGATGGCAGTCCGATGGAAGTGGTCGAGGACTCGTCGTCGCCACGGGCGCGCCGAGTAGCCGTAAGATCACCCGGCGCTCACTCCGAGGGCTCCGACAGGCCAATCTCCCGGAGCTCTTCCGTCGAGTCGTACCCCAACTCGCGGCGGACACCGTCGCATGCCAGCAGCGCTGGCGGCGGCCACCATCACCACGGAAATCACCACGGCCATCATCACCCACACCACCATCATCACTTATCGACGGCCGGGCATCTGGACTTCGGCCGTACGACTGTGCACAGCCACAGCGGTGGCTCCACACCCAATAACAGTCCCAGTCCGCCGCACAGGATATCGCATGGCGACTCGCCGATCGGCACACATCCTCAGCCACCCCCTGGAGTGGTCAGACCCAGCCCGAACTACCTCGCGCCACCGTCCAGCGCGGCGGCAGTGGCGGCCGAGCAGCTCAAGTCCATCTACGGACTGCCCGGCCACAATCCAGCCGGCCCGCAGACCGGCCAAAACGAGTACCACACGCAGCAGTTGGCTTTAGCTGCGAATCTGGCCGCGGCCCAGGCTAATTTTCAAGCTGCAAATCTCGCAGTCGCGCTTCAAGCGCATCACGGTGGCGCACCACATGGACCTCCTCACGGGCCTTATCCGCACGGTGGTACTCCGGCAGGACCACATCCGCCGCCGCATCCCCATCAGACGCCTAGAGACAGTTACCCCCTGTATCCCTGGTTGCTCTCCAGGCACGGCAGGATCTTTCCTCACAGATTCGGAGGTATGCAGGGATATTGACTGCGGGTGTGACCTGCAGGTTCCAATACTTGTTTAGCCTTTTCGCTATTATGTACCATTACAATGAAATTTCCGTTAAACGGCTGTTTAGGGCGAAACACGGTCTCCCTTTTACGGTGTCCCATTTTTGGACAGGATTGGGCAGGATTGAATACCACTTTTGGGTTTTCCTCTAACGATTGTTCAGGACAAACGTCGCTATAATGATTCTCTGTACTATAATGATACTATGCTATATCATGATTCTCCATATAATGATATAATGATCCTCTTTTATAACTTACATTGAGAATCAGTGAATAGCTGTTGTTACCAAACAACATTTCATTTATTCATTTGACATCTGCAACATATATTATCAAAAGAATCGACCAGATTCTTGATAATTCGTGACTTTTCTGGATATTTATTAAATATAATTTATTTATTAGCTGTTACTACTATATATGACAATGAATCACACGGCTTGAAGTAACAAACGCTGATCGCACTGCTATTACACATTACACGCGTTCATTGGTAAAGCTGTACGCCCAGCTCCCTTAGAGTTTAGTTCTGTCGAAAGGGTTAGACTTAAATGATATCTGTCTAATTTTACTGACTTTTGTCATTCAGAGCTCGAGTATTTGCGTTTGGCGGTGACGTATGGACTATTCGGGGTCAATTGTATTGTATTGTTCACCCGACACTTGAGATTACATCATATATATCGTGTATAATCTATATGTTTTTTGTCCAAAATGTATAGTTTACGTTAATTTCTTTGTTTAGCTTCATTATAAACTTAAAATCAAAAGAATTGAATCTACGTTAATCTGTGAAATAGTATTATACGATTGTCAGAGTAGACTTGACGAGTTATCTCTGAAGTGTAAGCATTACAAGCTTAGAATAGGAAGAATCAAAATAGAGGATAAACAAAAACTGTCGAAAGAGAGCAAATAGGAGGCAGTGCACAAAGAGATAAAACGATCACAGAAAGTACACATTCTAGCACGTTCACAAGAGTATTAGCACGCGACAATAGGTGTCGTGCACATTTCAGATTTTAACTTTCGGATAATCATCAGTCATTAACTGTTGCCGTCAGTCTGTTCGACCGCAAGTGGCGCTCACAATATTCAGTATCCTTTCAGTCCCCTACGATTTTTTGCTTCTGGAAACGTGACAACAGAAAAAATATAAACCTTGATTGTGTGGGAGACATAAAGTAATGTAGTCAAACTTAAGTTTATGAATATTTTATTATTCAATCCTCCGTCTCAATCTGGATTTTTCTGCTTCTAAGAAGTGACAATAGCAAAATATCAAACTTCCAAATCGTGAAATATAAAGTAACGGACACATTTCAGTTTATAAATATTATTTTCCAAACAATGTACACACACATATACTCTGTGGCGTATGAGGTAGGGACTGATAACTGTTATAAATGGACTAATGACAGTATTATTGTCTTAAAGGTCGTGATGATACACAGCAGAGCGGAAAATGAAATTAGACCTGAAAATAGGCTCACGAACTGTGCGACTTGAAAATTACACGACGAAATGGAGAGTTAACAGACAACGTTACCGACCTTATAAATTTAACACGGCAATAAACGCAATATTTCCCGTTCTCGAATGATCGCTGCATATTTCCTCGCTCTGGTTTCTCTATTAATATTTAATCCACAATCGCGCGGCTCCGTACCGCTGTCTCGCGGAGATATGTCAAAGGACGTGGACGTTTTTCTCGAGTGTTATCGGGATTTACGGCCTGAGTACTATCGCGAAGTCGTCAAAGTCGCATGATTCAGCCGATTGATTGACGTGATCAGGGAAGCGCGATTGCGTAGTCGATTTATGATGATATTTCTTAGGATTCGGCGCACGCGCTCGCCCATCGTGACGCAAGACTTTCGTAATTAGCATTTTGTAACGTTGTTGCCCTAGAACGGCGGTTTCTTATCGTGTGCTAAGTCGCGCCGGGCAAAACAAGTGTCATAGTTTTTCCTGCGTCTCTCGTGCGTCGTAATTAATTTATTTACTGGCGTTGTGATATCGCCTCAGTCCAATTACGTGCTTATCAATGTTCGTACTATTAATGGGAAACACAGAAGAAATATCGTCGTTCCTAACAGTGTCCGCGTCTCTCTCTCTCTCTCTCTCTCTCTCTCTCTCTCTCTCTCTCTCTCTTTCTCCTCTCTCTCTCTTTTTGTCTCCCCTCTTTCTCTCTATCTTTCTACTCTCCTCGCAGGCGTCTCGATCGACTCCCCGCGGTTCGATCGTTGCTTTAGCGTGAGGCTGAAGCACGCGTGCACAACTTTATATGATGGATGACGCCTCTTATCGGTTGCGCCGAGATAGCGATTTCTGCCGTTCGAGATGTATTATTGAACAATCTGAAATATACCCCGGAGACACGTTTAGTGTTTATGACGCAAACGGAAACGAGACGACATAGCTGGGAGATTAATTTCGGTGGTACGCGCGGAAGGTTCGATCATTCGTATCGTAATCGACGTCTCGGCTTCTCCTTTTACATTCCGCAAACACACCTCACCCGTCGATTAGCGGTATTAGCCGGTATTGGTCGATGACGAATAGCTCAGTCGGCGATTGTGAGCGCGATATTAATCTCGGCATTGTAATCATTACGTACAACGATGTGGATGTTTACTTCGAAAGAAGCCGGATCGCGGATTATCGGTTCCACGGTAGAGTCGTCATCGGCTTCAGACGCGACTGTTATGGTTTGGGACGGACTTGGTGGTGAATTATGGCCTTCGGATTCACAGCCTTCGCACGCAAAATTTGCCGCAACCGCAAACATAAGGTATAAGCTTCAGTTGAAGGACTAATCAGTATACTGTTTAGGTTTAAGTGTATGTATTCCGACGATAAAGATGACGACATATATTTGGCCTTAAGCACACATAACTAGAATTTTAATTAATTGAAATTCTAATGTTTGGCATTGATAAGCACGTAATTGGACCAAGGCGATATCAAACAGATTCTATTTTTTCTGTCAAATGTTTTCTTAAAGTTTCTTTTTTTTATTTTATATTTGTGTTGGACAAAATATCTGAAATGTTTTAAGTATTTACACAATTTTTTTTATAAGTGATTAAAAAATATAAATACTCAAACTGTTTCAAGTATTTTGCTTAAACTCTCTTTGGAATAACTTTTAAATGTCTTGAATAAAGCATATATTATATTTTTATTTTAAATATAAAACTTTAATACTACATTAAACATTTAAAGACGTATTGTAATTATTCACAATTGACAGTCGATAAGTTATAAAGAATGACCTATATTTTAAAAAGCAGAGACTTTATATTTCTATAAATCATAATTATGAAAGCACTAATTAATAATTTGTTATTCTTTGTGTCTCTTCTTTTTACTTTCACATTTTCTACGCAACTTTTCTCTTATTTTTAGATTTTCCATTTAAACTTAGAGAGAAAATATCTAAAAATTAGTAAATATTTATTTGATAGTGGCATCAGCATACATATTTGCTTAGACTAACATAAAATATGTTTTGAATAAGAAAATATACATTTTCTTAAAACCTTAATTTTTTATGAAAGCAATTGTTTATTTTACTTAAATGAAAGAATTTAGATCTAAGATAATTTAAATATGTTGTAAGTACTCACTCCAAATAAATATTTATTAATTTTTAGATTTTTTTCTCAGTGTAGAATCGCAGCTTCAATTATATGGGAAATCGGAATAGATCTCGATTAGAGAAAATTTTCTATAATCAGATTAAAAGTGGGATTCCCCAAAAATTGTTATCGCAATACAAAACACCTGTTTGGAACAAGTTTGAATAATCTGCTCGGGATCTATGCCATACTTGGCAATGTTTGGGAAATTTCTACACGGGTGATTAGTTCTTTAGAGCTTAAGTTTAATCGCAATTCCAATTGATCTATTCATAAATTTAATTGGTTGAAACGCTAGTTACTTCTGCTTAAGATCAAATTTATCGTTACTTTTGTAAGTAACGATTATCTCGGAATACAAAAGGCCAAAGCGATCTGATTAGTTCTTCAGCTGAAGTTTACGTCTTGCGTTTACGGCAATTTGTGTGCCATAGGCCTCACTTCTCTTTACTCGATAGGCTTAACTCGCGCAGTCGATCGCGAACTCACTTCGCCATCGAGCGCGATTCCCATCGATCGTCAATTAGTCGCGCACGGGCCGCGCCGGCAAGTTCGTCGAACCTTTTCCGTGGAATTTCGAGCACCGCCGGCAGCGGGATCGTCCGTCTCGCAGACTTTCTGCAAACCTGCGAGCTTAATCGGCCGGCAATCAGGCAACGCGGGTCTCGTTTAGAGTTACTTACGAGGTCGGCCAGGCCCACGAGGGGCGGGCATGCGGAGAGAAGATAGAGCATCCCCGGCAGGTAGAGAAGACAATTATCATAAATTTACCGCAATCGGCACGTATGCGGGATGAGGCGTGCCACCCGGTAGAGAAATATACCAGAAGACGTCGCGAAACTAGTTTCGCTTGAAAGATCCACCAACGGTCGCCATATTAGTCCCCGACGTCTCGCGTGCCTCTCTCTCTCTCTCTGTCTCTATCTCTTTATTTCTTTTCCTTTTCACTACAGACTTCTTTGTAGCACAGCGACAATGTTGTACAAAACAGGTTAAGGAATCAACGATTACAATCTATATCCTCACAACGCAGTCACCATTTCCGGTGCTTACGATTTCCGAGCAATCCTTTGATATACTTCATTCGGTCGTACGATGCAGTTTTCTTGGAGAAAAACTGAGTACAAATGTTTATTCCACTACGTGTACACTGAGAGAAAAATTAGATTAAAATCAACAAATATTTCCTTGATGGGTGCCATTAACATATTTACTTAAATCTACATTCTCTTTATTTAAATCAAATATTGTTTAAATCAGGCAAATAATATTTGATTTAAATAAAGAGAATGTAGATTTAAGTAAATATGTTA